GAGAGAGAGAGAGAGAGAGAGAGAGAGAGAGAGAGAGAGAGAGAGAGAGAGATTCTCTGGAGGTACACGGGCAGAGGAAGTTCTTTTTGGAGAGAGAGAGAGAGAGAGAGAGAGAGAGTACACGAATTGGACTGGGTAGTAGCAGTGACTGAAGCCGAGCACGGTGCCTTGTGGCATTGTAGTCGCCGTTGTTAGCGGTTGCGTAACCTTCTGCGTTGCATCGACCTCGTGAACTATAGCGAGGGAGCGGGGGGCTATCCGCGATTATATGTGGATGCAAGTACTCGCTCGGACAGTTTGTGGCCTATTCTTGGCCGTCCTTGTCCTCTTCGTTTTCGTCACTCTCTTTTCATCGTTCCGCAGTTCACTGCAGTGTTTTTCCCGGTCTCTTACGAAATTCGCTCAGTACTTGGCTTGACTCTGCGAGCTAAAGGTTATACCTGGAAGCTTGGGGACGAAGGTCGCTGAATCTGGAAGGCGTGGAAAGGGATTCAGAGAAGATTGCTGAGCGATTGAAGAAGGAAGAGCTCGCGCCATTGGTTGGGATCCGCTGATTTGACCAGACAGGTGTGCTTGCGTGTTCGCCGTCTTTCTATTCTTGGCTGCTGCCGCTGTTATTCCGTCACCTACGATAGCGCGGGACATACCGAGGCAGATAAGAGTGGTGTGGAGCGTAAAAAGTGCGTGGTGGACAAGTGTTTTCGGCGGTAAATTCTTCTGAGTCACGATGAGGTTTGAGACGAATCTCGGTAGCACGAGCTGGCGCAACTGGCGAACCAGCACGAGCAATCTGCTATGTTTTCCCGGGGGCGCATCCCGGCAGTCCGGGATGGGCAGTTCTGCCATCTCGCCATGCGCGGCGTGCAAGTTTTTGCGGCGAAAATGCACGAGCGAGTGCCTGTTCGCTCCGTATTTCCCGCCGGATCAGCCGCAGAAGTTCGCCAACGTGCACAAGATCTTTGGCGCTAGCAATATCACCAAGCTGTTGCACGATTTGCCAGTCCATCAACGCGAAGATGCTGTGAACAGTCTCGCCTACGAGGCGGACGCTCGAGTCAAAGATCCTGTCTACGGGTGCGTTGGCGCCATCTCCGTTCTGCAACAACAAGTTGCTCATCTACAGGCCGAGTTGGCAATCGCTCACGCCGAGATTCAGCGGCTTCACAATGCAGCAGCGAACTCCGGATCGATACCAGTTTCCTCGAAGGACCTGTTAGAGCTGGGCGCCGGCGGCGCCGGCGGATCTTACGACACCGCTTTCACCGTCAGCGACGACGCTCTTCGACAACAACTCTCCGAGCAGATGTCCTCTCAAATGCACAATATCACGCAACAAATGGGCAGTCAGCTAGCAGCGCAGCTATAGTTGTCCATCTGGGTATCTAGGTGGGAGAAACTCTACGTAGGCTTACCTCGCGAAAGAGAGGATTTCCGTCTCATTGATGCTCCAGCAGCGCTTTGTGTGCTTTCTTACTTGCTGAAGAACGGATCCATGTATACTGTGGACCTATCGAGCAGTTTGTTTTGTACCGTACGTAGGAAGGAGGAAGGAGAGAGGAGGGGATCGGAGGCTCTCTAGTCATTTCAGGCTTCGGCATAGATCTGATATCGTGCTTGCAAGAGTGATGAGCGGTTGCTTTGTCGATCGCATACGAGGAAAGGAGTGGTTGGAGCAGCAGGGAACTTCATTATTGTCACTCACGTTGGGACAGGTCTTCGAAGAGCGCAGGAAACGAGGGCGTATGACCGATGAGCACTTGTGACTACTTGCCACCCGGAAGGGGAATACCACAGGGTTCTGACACGAAGATACAACTAAGGGCCCTTTGCGTCGATCCACGGGAAAGGCGAGGTATGTATGATGCATGTTCTCGCTCTTTTTGAGGAAACGATTGCTTGAGGTTGCTTGAGGTTGCTGCAGGCTGTGGGTGGAAGAGAACCGTTGAGGGAAGGAGCCGGCAGGACCAATCGCGCGGTGTAATTAATGCTAGCCCTGTTTCTGTAGGGGTTAAGCCGAAAAGTGATGACAAGTGTGCTGCTCCGGGCGCTCCTGTATTGCCTTAAAACGATTCTTTCGTTTGGTTTTCCATTGCGTTGGTGCCTGTCTAATTGCAGAGCAGCAGGTTTGCTATGCGTGTAGCGTAGTTGTCCTGTGCTCTGATCCGTCTCGGCGTCCAGTTTCGAGCTGGATCGTCGCCTTTGGCCCTCACGTCGTGTCAGTTATAGTGAAGGGAGGATGTTGACGTCTTTAGTCGTCGTTGATCTTCGTTCCTTCGTTGCTCTTTTGTAGCGTAGTTGTCCTGTGCTCTGATCCGTCTCGGCGTCCAGTTTCGAGCTGGATCGTCAACTTTGGCCCTCACGTCGTGTCAGTTATAGTGAAGGGAGGATGTTGACGTCTTAAGTCGTCGTTGATCTTCGTTCCTTCGTTGCTCTTTCCTGATGATAAGGAAAGGTTGCTGTACCGAGGGGGCAGTTTGCCTATTTGGAGGGAACTTGGCACCGATCCTCTTCGTCGTGTAAGCTGATAGTCCTACTTAGAGAGGAAGAGGCTGCTCGATTGTTTGACTGTCGGTGAGCGGTATCAACGACTGTCAAGCGTTGATGTCCTAACGCGTGTCCGTGAAACCTTCGACGAAAACTCTGTCAGAGGCATGCTCTTGTCGTTGGAATGGTGTTTAGGAAACAATGAACAGAGACGAAAGAAACGCCAACGAATATGCTTTGCGCCAAGTTCATGAGCGCATCCAACCCGTGTGTGCGTGTGAGAGAGGGGGGAGGACTGGCAAAGGCGGGGCTTCGCTATGATGAGCGAGCGAGCGAGCGAGCGAGCGAGAGAGTGAGAGATAGAGGGTGGAGAGGCTCGCAGGGGCGAATGCGCTACTTCTCAGGGAGAGAGGGTGGAGAGGCTAGCAGGGTCAAACACGCCACTTCTATCTCATACACAGAGAGAGAGAGAGAGAGAGAGTAGTGAGGCTCGCAGAGGTGAAGGCGCCACTTCTCTCATGAGAGAGAGAGAGAGAGAGTGGTGAGGCTCGCAGAGGAAGGCGCCACTTCTCTCATGAGAGAGTGGTGAGGCTCGCAGGGCGCCACTTCTGTCTTGAGAGAGAGAGAGAGAGAGAGAGAGTGGTGAGGCTCGCAGAGGCGAAGGCACCACTTCTCTCATGACAGAGTGGTGAGGCTCGCAAAGGTGAAGGCGCCACTGAGAGAGAGAGAGAGAGAGAGAGAGAGAGAGAGAGAGAGAGAGAGAGAGGCTTGCGGACTTTACCATTTCTCTCAAGAGAGAGAGAGAGAGAGAAGGTGGACGAGATACGCTCCCGTTCTCTCTCTCTCTCGCTCACACACACATAAACGAGAAGAGGTTTTACATGGGCTGCATGAGTGGACACAGCTTGTAGATGCGGATACCAAGCTGGTGAACGATTTGCGAGCCCGTCAATAAGAAAAGCGCCCAAGCTTCTCCAGCGAAGAGGACAATCTGGTCAGAGGTTTATCAACGGTTGCTCATGTTCCGTCTCCGTGCCGAAACAGGAAGTTGCTCTTCAGGCCCCGGGAGCTGAAGTAGTTCTTTATAATGCAACGGACAGTTCTGGGGATCGCTCCCTGTCTGCTCGAAGGACCTGCGAGAGCTTCGGAGCGAGCGGCGCTGTTAAGGACGGCGCTCTACGGCAAGAAACTCTTCAAACATATTTCCTCGCGTATGTACAATATTGCCCAAGAAATGGGGAAGTTGCTGGGTCCTCAACTATAGCAGTGCAGCTTGGTACTTTTGAGGAAAAGCGGCGAATCAAGGTCCCGCGGAGCTTGCCTGTGTTTACTTGCCGAAGAATTGATCCGTAGATGCTGAGGAATCATCGAGCAGTTATTTGTATTGTACGTAGGAAGGGGTGGAGAGGAAGGGAGCGCTCTAGTTGTACCTAGGAGGAAGAAGAGAGGAAGAAAGCGCTCTAGTTGTACGTAGGGAGGACGAGGAGAGGACTGGACCCTGGGCCGTTCTAGTTAAGTCAGGTCCTGGGCTGCATTGTGTGAGTTAAGTCTCGTTTGAGACTTCGGTAAAGAAGTCTTTAGTCTCGTTTCGACCAACCTCGGTACAGATTTGCAAACGCACTTGCAGAGGGATTGCCGAACTTGAGAGGGACGAATGAGAGGAGGTACAGATTTGCAAACGCACTTGCAGAGGGATTGTCGAAGTGAGGAGGGACGAATGAGAGGAGGAACGGATGGAAGTGCGTAAGCGTCATCACTGACATTCGCGCTCTGAAAGGACTGTGAAGGTATGGAAAGGAAAAAGGAAATTGGTCGCGTCTGATTGATTATGTGCCCTTCTTTGGGAACGTTTGCTTGAGTTCGCTCGCCGCAGGCTGTGGCTAGAAGAACCCGCGAGGAAGAAGGAAGCGGGCGAAGTGTAATTACTGCAAGCCCTTCTTGTTGTAGGGGTGAAGGCGGAAAGTGACGAGTGTGCTGCTCTTGGCATCTGCCTTGTCGCCTGACGATTCTTTCTTTTGTTTCTCGATTGCGTTGCTATCGTTCCTGTAGTTTCAGAATTTACGATTCTTTCTTTTGTTTGTTCATTGCGTTGCTGCCTCTTTGTAGTGGCAGGATAGCTGGATTGCTATGTTGTGAGTAGCATAGGTGTCCTGTACTTTGCTCTGCCGCGCCATGGCAGTTCCAGAACCGATCGCCATCTTGAGCCTATGTTGTAGGCGTCTGTGTCTGAGGAAAGAGCATGGCGATGTCGCCGGCGTGTGGTCTTCACCCCTTTGTATTTTTCCTAATGCGAAGGAATGTGGTCTGTTTAAGTGGACAATGCCACTTAGGAAGGAAGGAAGGAAGGTATCGCTAGGATCATCGCGGATAGTTTTAGCTGATATGATTAACGAAGGGAGGAAGTGGGAGGCGGCGCTTTTTTTCTTTTTGGTTGTCGAGGAGTGGATTCACCGACCGTCGAGGTTAAACATCGTAATGACTCGGTTAAAATCCGACGGAATTGTAATCCGAGAGTCACGCTTTTTTTGTGATGTTATGTTTAGTGGACATGACAACACACAAACTCGAAAAGCGGGTGCCATTGATGCCTGTCAGATGTTATGTCTCACTGTTTCCATTGGTGTATCAGAACCTGTGTCGTTCGTTTTGTTCTTTCCATTGTCGTTACTTCTCTTTTGTGTGTGAGAATGGGCGTCAACCTTTTTATTTTCCACTTCTGGTTTTGAGTGCGTGAATAAGAGGTGCGTCTGCTTTGCTTCCTCCCCGACATCTCTCGCGAAGTTTGGGCTTCAATGGACGGAAATGTAAGGATCCGCCAATCACGCAGTGGGTCTCATATTTGTGCGCGTGGGAACGGGAGGTGTGTGTGTGTGTGTGTGTGAGAGAGAGAGAGAGCGAGCGAGCGAGAGAGAGAGGGAGATTGCTTACGCATGAGGGAGAGCGCATGTGCATGCGCGTGTGGTTCTGTGCGAGTATGAGTAGGCGCTTTTGGGAGAGAGAGAGAGAGAGAGAGAGAGAGAGAGAGAGAGAGAGAGAAAGAGATGCGCACGCGTAAAAAAGGAAGAGCGCATGTGTAGTCTGTGGTTCCGTGCGAGTATGATTAGGATGCGCCCGCTTTTGGAATTGTGTGCATTTCGATCGTTCGTGCACGTGAGAAATGAAGACGCACAGCCTCGGGTCCTCTTTACCCTAACGTCTCTGTGAGCCAGTTCTTGTCCATATTTTGAGAATGGGGGCCCAATGTAAATACACTTCATTCTTCTGTGAGCTGGGCCTGTCCGTTATGTCAGATTGAGACAATAGGGGCTTAAGAGCAAGTACATCGAGAGGGGAAGTTTGTGGCAGTCGGGAAACAGCTAGGCAAGAGCATCTCATCTCTCCGCAGACATGGATATGCTGACAAGCAGCAATGATGTACAAGTGCGTGCTAGAGTCGTGTTCGGGTGTGAGGTATGGATGGATCGTGTTCGTCTTCGATGGTCGCTATGTGAGAGGAACAGACTGTAAAGAGATTGACGCACAGTCTCGTGCCTGCTTTCCCAACGCCACTGCGTCATGTCTTGTGCATATTTCATTGTCGAGTACGGGTGGGGTCCATAGGAGATTTGTGGTCTGGCTGGTCGTTTCTGGTATGTCGGCCTGAAACATAAAAAATACCAATAGATCAACTGCAGCTGCAGGGGCAGTTTCGGAATTCTCCTTTGTGATCCTGACAACGAATGGAGCAACTGTGGTAATAATTCTTTGAGAATTCTTTGAGAATTCTTTGAGAATTGTTGGCGCTGAAAGCTGTTGAAGGCGTCGCTACATCTGTAATCAAGGTTGGCAGCGCCTTATGGAACGGAAAGAGCTATCTGCTTTTATTTCGTTCTTAGGCACTGCTGCAAGGATGGATCCTAATGGGAAGACTTTAAAAAGTGTAAGCTACGGATGGCATGACTGCAGGTGTGCTGCTGGGAAAATCACCCTGCAAACGAGGTCGATGTTGAAGTGCCCTCAGATGATTCTTTTTGTTATTCTGGAAGAAACAATTCCTCACCCTCCGGCTCTTTTCACTGTCTGGACTATACTCCGCCATGCAGTCATTGTCATGCTTGTTGCCCGAGTCGTCATCATTTGACCACGTGTCTTTCTCACGGTTCTGCGTCCTGTAGGTTGTTATGTTCATCATCGTCTTCATACTCGTCTTCAACCTCGTTAGTATTGCTGTAAACGTCACCATCAATCACCGCTATCGTTCATCCCCCTCCATTATCACCACGAGGGATTTCCTTCGCAGTTCTCATTCCTCGTCTTCACCCGTTTCAGAATCTTTTGCTTGCTATTGTCCTTTGTTTGTGCACTTTTTATATCGTTTTTCCCTCCATACTAGTTGCGCGATCGTTGACACCCTTCGCTGTGTTCTATCATCGTCATTATCATTGTGAAAAGTGTCGTTTTCAAAAGGATTACAATATCGTTATTGCTATCCGGAGAGATTCCACACCATCAACATTATTGCCGTCGTCAATATCGTTGATTGCCATTGTTGACGTCGTTATCGTTCCAGCTGACGATGTGATCTTTTTCGCTGCCCTCCACGATTCGAATGCAGTCTTTTTGTTCTTGCAGTGATAGCAGTGCTTGCCGTCGTCTCCCTCGTTATCGTTCACGGATACCATCTTCACCCACACCATGATTGACCATGCCATTGCCGTGGCTGTTCCTTTACCCTTGTCGACGTTGGTATCATCAATCAGCACCCCCACTCTTGCCTTGGTCTCCACAAGGTCTTCTTGTCGTTATCCTCGTGACCTTGTTGCCCTATACCGTCGTCACATCATTTTGTCATCTGGTCAGCATCATTCCTTACGGTTCGCATGGCCTTCTCATCAAATCGCACGCCGTTATTATTCATGCCATCAGTATTATCATATCAGCAACAGTAGCATCCACACTACCACTTCTTTCAATTGCCGTCATCGCCATGTCATGATTACTGTCGTTGCTAGATCATTATCATTATCGTCACCACGTCATCGTCATCATCATGGTAAACATCATCATCATCGTCAGCATTATCATCATCATCATCATCATGTCATTGTAATTGTTAAGAGGGCCCCTTTAACTTGTGTGTGTGAATCCCTCTCATGGCTATTACTGACATCGTGAATTTGTTTCCTTGAAGATCATTCATCTCATGATAGGCACTGTATTTCTATGTAACCATGATTAGCATTGTCGTGTCACGGTTATCTTCCCTATTATATCATCAGCCATCTGACTGGCATCGTGCAACTCCAACGTTGATATAACCAGTCGAGCGGGGGTCCAAATGGATGGTAAAGTTTATTTTTCAATCCCCGCCAGAAACTGTTTGAGGGGTTAAAAAAACGAGTATCCTTTGTAGGCACCTGAACACCAAAACTGTAGGCAGTTAACCTGAAAGACGAGTGGCAAATCCGAGAAGCAGGGCTCGGGAAAAATTCTGACGCTCGAACTCCATTCTTTTTTGTTGTCTGTTTCTTCTTCTCCTCTCGTCCAGCAGCGTGCGGGAGCTCTCTCTCTCTCTCTCTCTCTCTCTCTCTGTGTCTCTCTCACACACACACACACACACACACACACATACACACACACACTTTGATCTGTTTTTTGCCCCTCCATTTCCCTTCCTCTACTCTACCCCTCCCTACACTGCCCCTTGCTTCCTATAGAATTCTTATCTTCCACCTCTTTCTTCCTCCCTCCCCTTGTGTACTAGTAAAGGCATACGAATGAGGATCATCAAGAGAGCAGAGAAAATATAAGCTGAAGATTTGAAGAAAAATGGACAGGAGTGCACCTCCCCCTTTACTGAGCGCCTCATTTGACAACGTGCAAGCGTGCCAGGGATGCGGGCAGCTGGTGCTATACCACAGTCAACGTGGCCAGCCTTGTGCATGAGAGGCAGAGTAAAAGGGGAGCTGGAAGAACAAATAATAGGGGTGCCGACAAGAATGCCAAAGTAGAGATAATTAAGAAAGGGATATGATCTATCTATTATGCCCCATGGTGCTTGCCATGGAGGTGAAGCTGTTTTTGTTTTGGAGTAACATATCTCAAGTGTGCTTCATTGTCTGCAAGAAAATCTAAAACACACATTATGGGATATAATGGATCTAGTGTGCCCCATGTTGCTTGCTAGATAGGTAAAAGCATTCTTTGTTGGATTGGTTCATCTCAAGTGTACTTCATTGTTTGCAATAGAGGTAAAGCTGCTTTGATTTTGCATCTACTCTTCTGGGTGGGACGGGCCAATGAAACTGTGCGTTCGTTGAATGCGGGTTTTGCGTTCACGAATGGAACGCTTTGAATGTGCGGTCTGAACTTGAACGTATTGGCAGCTGCAAAATAATGGAAAATAAACCAACGGAAGAACGGAACAACGGAAAAACAAAGACATATCTGAGTCTGTGTGTGTGTGTGCTCGCTCGCTCGCATTTCACACACACACACAATTTATTTTTTTCTTTACTGCATGCGTGTGTGTGCGGTGGTGGTGGGGGTGTGTGCGCCCGTTGTTCACACACACGCACACGAACCGGTTCAACCTGCTGACGAGTCGGAGTTTCACACACACACACACACACACATGTGAACGGGTTCAACCTCCTGATGAGTCGGTGGAAGTCCAACGAAATAATCTGCCATAGTCATGTTTTTCTCGAGTATATAGCGAATATGACAATGCACACGTGGAAATAATCTGCTATAGTCATGTTTTTCTCGAGTATATAGCGAATATGACAACGCGCACACACACACACACACGTCTTGCTGGTTTTGATGATTATACACGTGCTAATTCTTTGCCCTGCTTTAGAGCATGGGCTGTTTGGATGTTTACGGGTGGCCACGAGTTCTCTTTGGGGGGAATATATGTTTTGTGGGCCGGCATGGAAGGCTTTCCCAGTTGTTTTGGGACCCTTGGCAGGGGGGGTCGGTGCGTTCTTGCTGGAGTCGTCTTCTGTCTTAGGTAAGTTGTTGCTTATCTTCTTCCTCCTCGTTGGCAGTGATGCGAGTGTGTAGTTTGAGATGAATGTCGGGAGTGCCAAATCCTGTTATATTTTATTGTTTTTGGTAAACGAGTTTTTGGTTTTGTGGGCCGATGCGGAAGGCTCAAGTTTCTTCGGACCTTTGAGGGGGTCAGGTCGGTGCCTTCTTGCTGGAGTAGTCTTCTGTCTTAGGTAAGTTGCCTTCTGCCATCCATCCCCTCATGGTTTGAAATACATATGTATACATCTGTATATGTGCAAGTGTGCCGCTTTGGCGGCAGATGGGTGTGTGGGCACTTGGCGCTGAACCACACGAACGTGGCCAACCTCGCATTTTCTATTATATTGCCTATCTATACTGTTTCGTTATGGATGGCTTGTGATGATTTGTGAGGGGAATGAGAGAGAAAATCTGGGGTGTTTTAAAACAACACAAACGCATACACAGACACAGACACACAGAAACACACAAACAAAAACACACACTCGGAGGATTGAATTGTAAATTTATAATGTATAGCCTAAGTAATTATACCATATATATCACAATACAGAATTATTTTAGTATCAATTAATTAGACTATATAAGAGAACATACACACACTCACACATGCATGCACACACACATACACAAACTCACAAACGCATACATAATGCTTTTTTTTTTTTTTTTTTTATACTGCGCACGCTTCTCGGTGGCTTCTGACATGCACGTGCCGGCAGGGGGCGTGCGTCCAGTTTTTTCCTATTCTATGCCACGTGGTGCGTTTGAATGCGCCCATGCACGTTTTGAACCGTGCGCGCTTGAACGCGCCCATGCATGTTGTGAAAGTGCGCATTTGAACGTGAACGTTCAGCATGTTCAAATGAGCACATCAGGTTGGGCTATTATGGTGAAAAATCTAAAACACACATTGCCCTTATGAGCTGGTGAAACTCCGATGGAAGAGTCTGGAGGCATGGCGTCAGAACAATTACCTTTATAAGGGTCATTGTTTGCATTTTCACAAAATCTAAAACAAGAGCTGGTGAAACTCTGATGGAAGAGTCTGGTGGCACGGTGTCAGAACAATTACCTTTATAAGGGTCATTGTTTGCATTTTCACAAAATCTAAAACACAAGCTGGTGAAACTCTGATGGAAGAGTCTGGCACAGTGTCAGAACACTTACCTTTACAAGGGTAATTGTTTGCATTTTCACATGTTGCACGGGGACCAAGCAGACGACTGCTTGTGGGTCCTGTAGCGGCGGTAAATCTGGCACGCATGAACTTGCTGCAGTTAGCAGGGATGATTAATGTGAGGTGACTACAATTTCTGCAGCAATAGCCGTACGAGGCAGTGGAAGAGGTCAGAAACTTCTGCAGCATGAGGCAACAAAAGAGGTCAATGTGAGCAAGCCTTAGGGTTGCACGCTATTGAGCTGATCGTCGAGGCGTAGTCCAGCATTATAGCGAGTCCGGCCTTTCAGCTGGGATGGTTAAGAAGAATTCGATTGTCAGGTTAATTAAACTGCTCAACCAATCGGCCAGAGCAAGTGATTGGATTAGTAAGAAGAGTCACTATCGGACGGCCAGATCAAAAAGATTGCTTATGGGAGGCCTAACCGAGTCTTGATTGATGCTGCTTGTTCTCAGGGTACGTTCACCCGGTTCCCGCTTGTAAGGGTAACAACCTGATCGACCGGGTTGGGCACCTTACCTGATCAGAAGGAAGCGGCGGACCGGGATAAAAGGCAGCAGGGCTCTGCTTTGAATGTACTGGGTCAAACTGCCCTGCGGCTCGAGCGGCAGCCTATGCTGCAGGGTCGGGGCGAGTATGATTGTTGGCCGACCAGGATAAAAGGCTTGTCCAGCAGGACCCTGCCTTGAATTTACTGGACCAAACAGCCCTGCGACTGGAACGGCAGCCTATGCTGCAGGGTCGGGGCAAGTATGATTGTTGGTTTCGGGATGTGAACCGGCGTTCTGTGCCGCAGAGCATAGGGGATCTCTTAGTTTACTTTGTTTTAGTATGTTTATTATCTACGTTTCGTTATTGAGTTCTGTTACTTCTTTAATGAATCCATTACAATAAACCGCCCAAATATGCCGACCTAGTGTGGCCATGGCGGAATATTGTATGATATATTGAATACGACGCAGCTTGGTACGATTGTGTACAAAACTATAATAATTACAAACACCTTGTAGAATCTGATTAGATTTTTTAAGAATCTTTGCAATATCCAAGTTCACCCAGGCCAATTTGGCATGTGGTTTACCCGCTTGATCACAAAATCCAGATCTACTCAGGTTTTCTATGTCGTCGGCCAAGGGGGCCACGCGCAGGCCACTGTTCCGCCTGAAGGCCATGCGTCCAACTGTGGGAAACAAAGCCCCTGGAACGAGGCCTAGAGGCCTTGCGCCCGACAGTTGACCGAAGTCAACTGTAACTCAGAATATTGAGGCTCACAAGTTAAAAGTCTTCACAGACTCAATCCAAACCATCGATCAGACACACACTTGGTTGTACGCAGGTATCCAGACAGCATTTGGTCCAAGGGGAAGTCTGTAATTGTACGCGATCCAGGCCGTCGACTGTGAGTCAATCTGAGCCTTTGTACATGAGAGACCA